TGGAAGAAGGGCAAACCCAGAATTCCTGAAATGCTTTTTCTGCATCAGTTGACATGATCATGTGGTTTTGTATTTCATTCTGTTAATGTAGTCTATTACATTGATTGATTTTCCTATGTTGAACGATGCTTGCATTCCAGGAATAAATCCCACTTGGTCTGGTGTATAATCCTTTTAATACGATGTTGGGTTCGGTTTTCTAGCATTTTGTTGGGGAATTTTGCATTTATATGTACAACTGATATTGCTCTGTAGTTTTCTTAAAACGTCTTTGTCTGGCTTTGGTATCAGGGTATCCTGGCCTCTTAGAACTAGTTAGGAAGTGCTTCCTCCTCTTCAATTTTTTGGAAGAGTTAGAGAAGCATTAGTGTTAGCTCATTTATATGTCTGGTAGCATTCACCAGTGAAGCAACTTGAATCTGGGCTCTTCCTTGTTAGGAGGTTTTGATTACTGATTCAGTCTCTTTGTTTATTACAAGTCTATTCCAATTTTCTATTTCTTCTGAATCAGTTTTGGTAGTTTGTGTGCTTCTAGGAATGTGCTCATTTCTTCTAAGTTATCCAGTTTTTTGGCATATGATTGTTCATAGTATTCTCTTATAATCCTTTTTATTTCTGTGATTATAGTAATGTCCCCACAATTCTTAACTAATAATTGAGGCTTCTCTCTTTTTTTCTCATTCAATCTAGCTAAAGATTTGTTAGTTTTGTTATCTTTTTAAGGAACCAATCTTTGGTTTCATTGATTTTCTCTATTGTTTTTCTATTCTCTGTTTCATGTATTTCCATTCTATTCTTTATCATCTTCTTCATCCTGCTAGCTTTGAATTTAGTTTGCTATTGTTTTTCTTATTTCTCAAAGTATACAGATAGGTTATTTGTTTGAGATCTTTCTTATTTTTAATGTATGCATTTATAGTTATAAATTTCCCTCTTAGCATTGTTTTTGCTGCATAAGTTTTGGTATGTCATATTTGATTTTCATTCATCTCAAGGTAATTTCTTATTGGTTATTTAAGAGTCTGTTGTTTTATTTCCACATATTTGTGTATTTTCTAGTTTTCCCTCTGTTGTAAACTTCTAGTTTCATTCCATTGGGATCAGGAAAGATACTTTATATGATTTATATCTTCTTCAATTTATTCAGAGTTGTTTTGTGGCCAACATATGGAGAACGTTCTATGTGCACTTGATAAGAATGTATTTTCTGCTGTTGTTGGGTGGCGTGTTCTGTACATGCTTGTTAGGTCTAATTGGTTTATACTGTTGGTCAAGTCTTCTATTTCCTTATTATCTTTCTAGTCCTATGTGTTATTGAGAATGGGTTACTGTCTCCAACTATTATTGTAGAACTATTTCTTCATTCAATTCTGTCCATTATTGGTTCATATATTTGGGGGTTCTGTTGCTGTGTGATATGTGTTTATAGTCGTTATGTCTTCTTTCTGTGTTGAACCCTTATCAATATATAATGTCCTTGTCTTTTGTAAATTTTTTTATTTGAAATCTGTTTTGCTGGAAAATAAGATAGCTACTCTTTATTTTTTTCCTTATGGCTTTGAGTTACTGTCTAGTATTGTTTCATTTCAGTCTGAAGTATTCCCTTTAGTATTTCTAACAGGGCAGATCTCTTAGCTTATATTTATCTGGAAATGTCTTAATTTCTCCTCCATGATCAAAGAATAGTTTTGTCAGATGTAGAATTCTTGGTTGACAGTACTTTTCTTTCAGGACTTTAAATATGTCATATCACTGCTTCTGGCTTCCATGATTTTTGTGTTGAAATCGGCCATTAATCGTATTGAGGATCCCTTGTACAAAATGTCGCTTCTTTCTTTCATGCTGACAAGATTGTCTTTTGATTTCAACAGTTTGACTATAATGTGCTCTAGTGTCGGTCTCTTCCATTTACCTTGCCTGGAGTTTGTAGAGCTTCTTGGATGTGTATAATCATCAGATTTGGGAAGTTTTGAAGCATTATTTCCTCAAATATGTTCTCTGTCGTTTGCTCGCTTCTCCTTCTGGGACTTCTAAAACGTATATGTTGGTACTCTTGATGGTGTCTCACAGTCCCTCATGCTCTGTTTATTCATTTCATTTTTTTCTTTCTGCTCCTCAGACTGGATAACTTCAAGTGTCCCAGGTCAAAGTCAGGGATCCTTAATTCTGCCTGCTCAAACCTGCTGTCACATCCCTCCAGTGAGTTTTTCGTTTCACTTACTGTACTTTTCAACTTCCGAATTTCTCTTTGGCTCATTTTTCTAACTTCTATTTCTTTACTGATATTCCTACTTTGTCCAAACATTGTTTTCCTTATTTCCTTCTTTGTCCATCATTTCCTTTACTGATTAAATATATTAAAGACGGTTGATTTAATATCTTTGATGAATAATTCCAGTGCCTAGGCTTCCTCAGGGATGGGTTCTTACTATTTCTTTTTTTTTTTTTTTCCTGTGAATGGGCCATACTGTCCTGTTTCTTTGTATGTTTCATAATTTTTTTTTGTTGAGAGCTACACATTCTATTTGGGTAACTTTGGAAATCTAATTCTCCCACTCCTCAGGGATGGACAGTTTCGGCTTGTTGAGGGCTGGAACCGTGCATTTGTGACTTCTCCAAACTATTTTGGCAAAGTGTGTATTCCTTACTGTGTATGGGTGCTGAATTTCCAGTTTGTTACATCTGCAGTCACTCGGTGGCCTGACAAAGGTTTCCGTAAGTGTCTATATTTCAGAAGGAGAAAAACAAAAAATACTGTCTTTTTAATCTCTTTGACAGAATTTCTTGGAAGCTCTTGAGGTCATGATAGTGAAACTATCATGTGAAATGGCCAGCCTCAGTGCCAGCCCTCAGTGGTCAAAGGCAGTGATCAACACACACCCAGATTCTGGCACCAGGAAGCCACACTGAGAATGTGGGCTGCAAAACACTTGGCTACCTGCCATGGGGCTGGGGGATGGAGAACGGTAGGATCTACATGGAACACTGAAATTCACTAAAATTTACCAACCTCTTCATCAAGCTCTTTACTGGACTATGCAAATGTTCATCTCTTGTTCCAAAATAGTTGCTTAAGGTAGATCTTGCCAGCTCAGTTCTAGCTTCGGTGAAGAGATGTATTCCTGGAGCTTCGTACCCAACCATCTTCTATGTAGGCCTTGGTTTTTCTCAAGTTTACCTGGGAGGCTTGGAATAGATCAATGAGTCCCAGCCTAGAATCACCTGGAGAGCTTTAAAAACTACTGATGCAAAGGTAGATTTCCCATGTCAGGAAATCTGATCACGTGTCTCTTTTTAACAATCTCCCAGGGGATTCTCATGCTCAGTTAGGGCTGAGGACCTGGGAGAAGGTCTATCTCAGCCTCGGGGCCTCACCATCTCTACCGACTGGGGACCTCAACTAGGCAGATGTGATGCAGCTGGTCTGAGCTGGGATCTGACACTGCTTTTCCAATAGATCCCAGATGGTGGCCCTGCTGCTGCTACATGGACCCCTGCTTGAGGAGCAGAATCCTTTCCAACTGTTTATCTTCTATGTTTTTCTTAATTTCTTGAGACTCTGACACTTAGAGAACCTGTTCTAGCCTCAAAGCAAAGCACTTTCCTTCCCATCAGAGCAGCAGGAAAGGTTATCTGGGAGACCACCACGGACACGCATGAGACTCTTCATACAGCCCGACAGTTTCATGTGGGGAGATTACTTACCAAATAGTTTAACCAAATGTTCTTCTCGCTTATTTGAACTCAATGCAAAGTTGGCATCTCTCAAGCTCTTTTGTTGAGGATAACCTATGGGAAAGTAAACTTTAGCTGTGAGCCAATCTTTCACTGGATCTGCATGTAATTCTTTTTATTTTTATTTTATTTATTTATTTTTGGCTGCATTGGGTCTTTGTCGCTGTGCACGGGCTTTCTCTAGTTGCAGAAAGAGGGGGCCACTCCTCGTTGCCGTGCATGGGCCTCTCATTGCGGTGGCTTCCCTTGTTGCTCTAGAGCACAGGCTCAGTAGTTGTGGCTCACAGGCTTAGTTGCTCTGTGGCATGTGGGATCTTCCTGGACCAGGGCTCGAACCCGTGTCCCCTGCATTGGCAGGCGGATTCTTAACCACTGCGCCACCAGGGAAGCCCCTGCATGTAATTCTTTTTAAATCGATACACTCATGCATGGTATTTGAGAGAAACATCCTGCAGTTGGCCTGCTCTAGGGGAAATAGCACTGGACTTGGGTTCCAGTACACATTTTTTTTTTTTTTGCGGTACGCAGGCCTCTCACTGTTGTGGCCTCTCCCGCTGCGGAGCACAGGCTCCGGACGCGCAGGCTCAGCGGCCATGGCTCACGGGCCCAGCCGCTCCGCGGCATATGGGATCCTCCCAGACCGGGGCACGAACCCGCGTCCCCTGCATCAGCAGGCGGACTCTCAACCACTGCGCCACCAGGGAAGCCCCAATTGCTTTTCTTTTAAAAAGAAATCAGCTCCATATTAAAGGACTTGATTTTTTGGATAAAAACCTTCCCACAAAGAAAACTCAAAGCCCAGATGGCTTCACTTGTTAACTCTATCAATAAGGAAGAAACATCATCACTTCTACACAAACTCTTCTGAAAAACTGAAATTGAGAGAGTACTTTCCAATTCATTCTATGAGACGAGCATTATCCTGATAACAAGCCAGACAAAGATTACAGGAAAAGAAAAGTATAGGCCAGTATCTTTCATAAACATAGATGTAAGAATTCTTAACAAACTTTTAGCAAATTGAATCCAACAATATTTTTTTAAACGATAATATATCATAACGAAATGACATTTATTCCAGGAATGTAAAACTGATTGAACATTCAAAAATAAATCAGTGTAATTCATCATGTTAATACAAAAATCATATGCTCATCACAACAGATGATCAGAAAAAGCATTTGACAAAATCAAACATCCATTCAGGATAAAACTCCCATTAGCTAGAGAACAAAGGGAATTTTCTCAATTTGATATAGAGTAGTTATACTCTTTATCAGGGGATTCCCTGCTGGCGCAGTGGTTAAGAATCTGCCTGCCAATGCAAGGGACACAGGTTCGAGCCCTGGCCCAGGAAGATCCCACATGCCATGGAGCAACTAAGCCCGTGCGCCACAACTACTGAGCCTGAGCTCTAGAGCCTGCAAGCCACAACTACTGAGCCCACGTGCCACAACTACTGAAATTGAGAAAAAATTACTGAAAAAAACTCTAGAGCGCCTAGAGCCCGTGCTCCACAACAAGAGAAGCCATGAGAATGAGAAGCCTACGCACCGCAACAAAGAGTAACCCCTGCTCACCTCAACTAGAGAAAGCCCGCGCACAGCAATGAAGACCCAACACAGCCAAAAATAAATAAATAACTAAATTTATTTTTTTTTAAGTAATATATATCGGGAAATCCCTGGTGGTCCAATGGTTAGGACTCTGCACTTCCACTGCAGGGGGCGCGGGTTCCATCCCTGGTTGAGGAACAAAGATCCCACAAGCTGCCCAGCGCAGCCAAAAAAAACAAAGGGATATATCATAAAGACAGACATATACACCAATGGAATAGAATAGACAGCCCAGAAATAAGCCCCCACATATATGGTCAAGTGATTTTTGTCAAGGATGTTGAAACCTTTCAGCAGGGAAAGGTAAATCCTTTCAACAAATGGTGCTGGGAAAACTGGACATCCATGTGCAAAAGAATGAAATTGGACTCTTACCTAACCTCATATACAAAAATTAACTCAAATGGGTCAAAGACAAATATAAGAGCTAAAACTACAAAACTCTTAGAATAAAACATAGGGCAAAGCTTCAGGACATTGAATTTGGCGATGATATCTCAGATACGACACCAAAGGCACAGGCAACAAAAGAAAAAAATAGGGAAATTAGATTTCGTGAAAATTTTTAACTTTTGTGTATCAAAAGACATTATTAACAGAGTAAAAAGGCAACCCATAGAAAATATTTGCAAACCACATATTTGATAAGGGATTAATATTCAAAATATAGAGAACTCCTAAAACTCACCAAAAAACCCAATTCAAGGGCTTACCTGGTGGCGCAGTGGTTGAGAGTCCGCCTGCCGATGCAGGGGACACGGGTTCGTGCTGCGGTCCGGGAAGATCCCACATGCCGTGGAGCCGCTGGGCTCGTGAGCCATGGCCGCTGAGCCTGCGCGTCCGGAGCCTGTGCTCCGCAACGGGAGAGGCCACAACAGTAAGAGGCCCGCATACCGCAAATAAATAAATAAATAAATAAATAAATAAATAAATAAATAAAAAAAAATAAACTCAGGATTTAATTGCCACTAAAAAAAAAAAAAACCCAATTCAAAAATGGGTAAAGGGGACTTCCCTGGTGGCGCAGTGGTTAAGAATCCGCCTGCTAACGCAGGGGACACAGGTTCGACCCCTGGTCCGGGAAGCTCCCACATGCCACAGAGCAACTAAGCCCGTGCGCCACAACTACTGAAGCCCGTGCACCTAAATCCCGTGCTCCTCAACAAGAGAAACCACGGCAATCAGAAGCCTGCGCACCACAATAAAGAGCAGCCTCTACTCACCACAACTAGAGAAAGCCCACGCGCAGCAACGAAGACCCAACACAGCCAAAAAAAAAAAAAATGGTAAAGGACTTGAATAGACATGTACCCAAAGAAGATATACAAATAGCCAATAAGCAAATGAAAAGATACGCAACATCATGAATCATTAGAGAAATGCAAATCAAACCTATGATGAGCTACCACCTCATACCAATTAGGATGGCTACAATCCAAAACAAAAACAAAAACAGAAACTAACCAGCGTGGTGAGGCTGTGGAGAAACTGGAACCCTTGTGCACTGTTGTTGGGAATGAAAAATGATGCACCCACTATGGAAAACAGTATGGCTGTTCTTCAAACAATCAAAAATAGAATTATAATATGATCCAGCAATCCCATATCTGGTTATATATCCCAGAGAATTGAAAGCAAAGTCTCAAAGAGTTATTTATACACCAATGTTCACAGCAGTGTTATTTACAATAGCTAAAATGTGGAAGCAACCCAAGAATTCATCAATAGATGAATGGATAAGCAAAATGTGGTATATACATACAATGGAATATAATTCAGCTGTAAAAAGGAAGGAAATTCTGTCACATGGGGAATGGGGAGTTATTGTTTAATGAGTATAGAGTTTCAGTTTTATAAGGTGAAAAAACTTCTGGAGATGGATGGTGGTAATGGTTGCACAACATTATGAATGTATTTAATACCACTGAACTGTACACTTAAAAATGGGTTAAGATAAAGAATCTAAAAAAGAGTGGATATACATATGACCCAGCAATCCCACTACTGGGCATATACCCGGAGAAAACCATAATTCAAAAAGACACATGCACCCCAGTGTTCATAGCAGCACTATTTACAATAGCCAGGACATGGAAGCAACGTAAGTGTCCGTCAACAGAGGAATGGATAAAGAAGATGTGGTACATATATAGAATGGAATATTATTCAGCCATTAAAAGGAACAAAATTGGGTCATTTTGTTCCTAGAGATGTGGATGGACCTAGAGAGATGTGGATGGACCTAGAGAGATGTGGATGGACCTAGAGAGTGTCATACAGAGTGAAGTAAGTCAGACAGAAAAACAAATATCGTATATTAACACATATATGTGGAATCTAGAAAAAATGGTATAGATGATCTTATTTGCAAAGCAGAGAGACACAGAACAAGTTAAAAACACCAAAATTTAAAAGTTTACATTGTAAAAAGAATTTGCCCTTCATTTCCCCGCATTTACGGTGGCCCCTTTCCCATATTAAAGAGTCTTGAAGGTGCCTCATACACTCTTCAGAGCCATTCACACATAGAACATTCTGGACACTGTGACTGGCTTTCTTTGCTTTGACTTAGCCATATGTCCTGATGTATTTCATATCAGATTATATATAACTCCTTCATTATCTTAAACAATTGCACGTTGACCCATTTTATGAATGCATAGACACCAAATACAAATGAACACCTACCTATGATTCTATTTGCATAAAATTCCAAAATAGTCAAAACTAACCTGTGGTGACCGGTAGAATGCAGGATAGTGGTCACCTCGGAGGAGGAATAGGGCAGTGAACGAGACGGGTGGGAGGCTACCAGGGAGCTGGTCATGCTCTGATTCTTAAACTCAGTGATGGTTATACGGGCGTGTCCACATGCTAATAATTCACTGAAATGTACATTTATGATTTCTGCACTCTTCTGTATGATGTCGTGCTTCAGCTTTACCGAATTTAATCTCACAGTCTAGTGGGAAAGTTATACAGAGCGGCAAATAACTATGGCTCAGTTTGGTCAATGAATTCAGGACTCGGTATCTTCTTGCCCTGTTGCAGCAGTTGACCCCAACGCGGCTGGAGGCTGACCGCAAGCTAATCCCAGCTGCTGCCAGCTGGATAACCTTGGGCAAGTTACACACGCGTGAGCCTCCTCGGTTCCCAAATCTGTAAAATGGGAATAATAATACCTCATACCGTTATTGCAAGGGTGTAATATAGTAATCTATGTAAAGTGGGTAGGAGTGCTCCGCAAGCACGTAGCAGGTGTTCCATTCACTCCAGCTACCGTTACCACGAAACTGTCATTTTTACAAGGAAAAGGATCCTCCTCAGTGCTCAATAAAGAAATGCTTTGGGGGAAATATCCACCGCCGGTCTCCTCGGGGACGGCGAGCTCACGAAGAAGCGTGGTCGGAGGTGCTGAAGCTCGGGAAAGCAGTCTCCCTGGACAGGCGACCTAGCAGCCCACCACTCGCTGACCGCCTCCTCCTTAAGCGCGGGGCAATGACGTCACCCCCACACGGTGCAGCCTACCTTGGAAGCTCCCCAGCGATTCCTCCGGGCCGTCTCCATTGGCTGGCCAGGACAGGCGGCCCCGCCCCTTTGCCCGCCGCGGGACCCGGGGGCCCGCCGTCAATCTGCCCAGGTGGGAGCGGTGATTGGCCGCGGGGCCCGCCCCCCAGAAAACTCCGCCGGGCTTGCGTAGGCTGCGCGCTCGGGGAGGGAGGGGCGCGGTACCGCGTCAGGAGCCACCGCTGTCCCGGTCAGCACGCCAGGCCGCCGTTGGTCACTCCTGCAGCCCGCCTGCTGGGCAGGGCCGGCCCGGCCCGGCCATGGAGTCCTACGACATCATCGCCAACCAGCCCGTGGTCATCGACAACGTGAGGCTCGGCAGCCGGGGGGAGGGCGCACGCGGCAGTGCACGCGGGGACCCCCGACAGACTCGGCTGGTCCCTCTAGCTCACTGCCCGCGCGCCACCCCTGCCGGCCGTCCCCACCTGGCCCTGTAGTTGGGGCCACGGGGCCAGCCCCCCGCTGGCGCGGCGGATCCCCAGCCCGAGCCCTCCCTGAGCCGGGCGGGGAGGTCCGTAGAAGAAGGGGGTCCCATCGTTCTGGCGGCCCTTGGTCAGCATCCGGAGAGGTGGGGTGACAGTCGGGCGGCCCGGCCGAGGCACCCCGGACCTTTCTCAGTTGAGAGTGGGGTTGCTGGGCAGGTTTCGACCCCAGCCCCTTTACCCCTTCTCAGGCTGTGGCCCTGGCTGTCCTCTTGCACACTGCTGGCCCCATCTTTTGGAGAAGGTTGGCCTGGGGACCTCTACAACAGCTCTTTCCAAGTGCTGCACCCCCAGGCAGCACTACCAGAGTGGGCAGGCCCTACTGCACCCTTTTCCTGGGACTGGGGAAAATGCAAGTTAAGCTCTGCCCACCACATAGCCGCCGCCACCTGGCTGACCACTTGGCTACTTTGACCCTCTCCTTAAGTGCTCCCCGAGCCAAGCAGAAGTTCCACAGCCGGCAGGGCAGTGGAGAGAATTCAGGACTACTCTTCCCAGGACCCTTAGCAGTTTGGGAACATTGTTTGCAAACCTCAGAGGAAAGTTGCCTGGCTTCATTGTGGTTTGTCCTTCAGCACTGGGGCTCAGCATGTTTTCTGGTCCACGGGAAGAAAATGAAGGGCAGGGATCTGTGGATCTGCCCCTAGCTGGGTATCTGCCTCTGGTGTATGGGCCTTGGAGTTTTTGATAATGACTCACTTCTCTTTGTGGGATCTGTCTCCCTGTAATCCCTGAACGGCTGTCTTTTTTGGAGTACCCATGTACGTGCCCTGAGTCACAGCAGGGGATGTTTAATAAGGCTAGAGCTGGGCTTGGAGGATGCTCTCCATCAGGCTACAGGAAGGATCAGGCCAGTTCCTTACTTGGCGGGCTAATCAACAAGTTAATGAGTTTAGAGGGCAACCTGTTTGGTTCCTCTGGGCTTCCAGCCCCTCCTGTGTAACTTGGGGATGTTTATTTCTGCTTTGCGGACCCCAAGGGTTGTGATGGAGATCTATGGGAAGAGGGGTTGAGATGCTCATTCCTGCAGTGAGTGGGAGGTTTCTAGACGCCAGGTTCCCTTTAAGATATTCTAAGTCCAGCTTCCGTGCTGGAGCAGTGGCAAGACCAAGCTGTCCTCCTGTAGTCTCTGGAGAAGCCACTTGAGGAGAGGTGCCAGTTGTCCCAGTGAACCCAGTGATCTTCCCCAGCGGGTCCTATATGTGGCCCATGGTTGCTGAGGGGAGGGGGCCAGAGTGTTGCAAAAAGCTTATGGGTTGCTTCTAGCTGGGTTTTGGGAGTAGCTTGTGCAGCTCCTGCCTGGAGCTGACCTTGGAGTGTGCAGACGAGGATGTACTTCATGGTTCCTCCATCTCCACACTAGTGACATTTTGGCCTGGATAATTCTTGGTTATGTGGGGCTGTCTTGTGCCTTTTAAGATGTATAACAGCATCCCTGGCCTCTACCTAGAAGCGAGTGGCAGCCCCCGCTCCCCAGTCTCCAAACGTTGTCAAATTTGGGGGAGGGAATGCAAAATCGCTCCCGGTTTTGAAGCACTGGTGTACTTGTAAATGGCCTTGCCCTCTTGGCAGGATCTCAGGCTGCCACCCCAGGCTGCCATGGTGGGGCAGCAGCCCTCCCCATGGCAAGGCACTGCCTTCGTCTGGAGGTGAATGTTGGGAGCTAAACATTGACTTTCTTTGCAGGGTTCGGGGGTGATCAAGGCTGGCTTTGCAGGAGACCAGATTCCCAAATACTGTTTCCCAAACTAGTAAGTGTTGCTCAGGCAGCATCCCTAACCCTTCGGTTTGCTTCCGCAGAGAACGTGGGTCCTGTGTCACAGCTCTCTTTGAGGCCAACTCTTGTCCCCACCTGTAGGAAAAACTCCAGATTTGTGAAGCTGTTGCTCTTAAGGGCGCTGGAAGGAGAAGACCTGTGCTCTGGGCTTCCCCCTCCTCTTTGGAGGCTGATTTTGGTCCCTCCTTTAGCCAGGAAGGAGGAGAAGCCACCAGCATTCCCCTCGGGACAGGGTGTGGTAGCAGCAGCAAGAATAAAAGAGAGACATCTCCAGGAGAGAGACCTAGACTCAGAGGAAAAAGTGGGGAGTTAATGCCACCCCTTCCTCCCGGGAAATGTTTTCTTCAGGGCCCATTTAGTTTCAGACTCTAGAAAATATTTTGTTCAGTCAAGGAGGGTCTTTGCCTGAATGGTGCCAGTGGTGGCAGAGGTAAGGGGGAGGTGAAACCTGGAGAAAGCCTGGAGTGCTTCTCCGGCCACTGTAGCCCATCGGGAAGTTTTCCCTCGGCCGTGTCTCGTCTCAAATCCTGGAGGTTTTAGGGTTTAGTGGCCCAAGCCGGGGTGGGGGAGTCCTAAGGCCCCTGAAATGGCTGGCTGTATCAAGACAGAGCCAGCCTAAAGCATCCAGTGGGGCCTCAGCTTTCCTTTTGAACTCACGTTGAATGTAATTAAAGGTTCCTCTTGATGTGCAGGGAACCTGGGTCAGATTTTGTAATGGTAGCCCGTCCACTCTGCCAAGAATTGCATCTCTGTTCTGGAAGCCCTGGCAGTGGGAAGGGGCAGGAATGACTGAGTGAGAGAGGGGTGTACACGGGAGCCACAGCCCAGTTTCCTGGGGCCACCCCGCCTTGGTCTGCCCTCCTGAAATCGAGAGCGTGGGCTGAGTCATCGTGGCTACAGAGGCTGACCCTCTGCCAGGGCTGACATTACAGAGCTCTCAGCCGTCTCTGGGAGGGCTGGTGGGAAATGGAAGTGACACCTCGTCTTCTGACCCTGAGCCTTCTGTCCTGCCAAGGCCTGCTCTGTAGTCCCGTGGCCCATAGGCCTAGCTTCTGACCTTTGCCCCGTGGCCACCTTCTGATGCTTTGAGTACAGTTACCCTCTTGACCATTGGAGTTGGACTTTGGTCTTCCTGGACTGGGCTCAGCTGTGCCCCTTGCCCACCTCCCTGACCTCTCCTGTCTTCGCAGTGTCGGGCGCCCCAAACACATGCGGGTGATGGCTGGAGCCCTGGAAGGGGACCTCTTCATTGGACCAAAAGCAGAGGTAATACCTGTGGAGCCTGCCTTTTTCTGGGTTTGGGGTCTTCATTGTCCCAGGAGCCTTGACTGGTGATCAGAGCTGTACCGCCAGAGAGGGCCCTGGGCGTCTGTTCTCTGAGGCCATCTGCCACCCTCTCTGGTCCTGGCCTTGGAGACTGGCTGGGCTCTGAGAGCCTGAGAAGCAGTTGGACAGATGAACCTGTGCTGGGTTCAGGACCTGTCATGGGGCATGGGGACACCCGGCGAGCGGATGAAGGGGCAGCTCCCAGGCGGGCGGGGAGCAGTTGCTGGGTGAATGTCTGGTGCCACAGCTGGCCTCCCCCCTCCGCAGGAGCACCGGGGGCTGCTGACCATCCGCTACCCCATGGAGCACGGTGTGGTGCGGGACTGGAACGACATGGAGCGCATCTGGCAGTACGTCTACTCCAAGGACCAGCTGCAGACCTTCTCCGAGGAGGTGGGGCAGCGGCCCCTCCCGCCGGGGGGCCCAGTTCTCCCTGTGGTGTCCTCTCCCTGCCCGCGGCATCCCAGTCAGGCTTCCTCGTTTCCTCTGGCTTTGTCAGGGCCTGCCACCTCTGTTGCGTGGGCCTGGGTCCACACAGTCCGTGGCTGCCGAGCAGAATTTTCCAGGGAGCGCTGGATCTTTGGAAGAGTAAAACTACT